AGTAAAAAGGGTTTACAAAACCTAAAAGAGAAACGTTCGAGCCCGAAAAGAAAAATATGGAAAAGATAAAAGACCCGCACAACATGATTGCCATTACCAATGGATAAGTTGATACCGTTCATAATAATATGTATGTATATACAATATATACATGTATATATAATCATGACGATGCTACATTTTTTGCTCGCACACATAAGTATGTATATAAATATACACTTTACGTAAAAAGTAATGCGAGCATAATTTATTTATTTATTTAAGTTCGGGTCAAACCGGCTAAACGCGTTGCCACCTTAACATTAAGGGCACAAAAAAAGAAACGCGAAGAAAATATATAAATAAACGTTAAACAACAACAAAAACAACATTGTTTAATTACCGGCGGTGTTTTTGTTTTGTTTGGCTTTATTTTTTTTTAATTTTTTTTTTTGCAATCGAAAATCGAAAGCGCTAGAGATGCGATGAAGCATGCGCGCAACGGTAAACAACATTTAATTAAGATTTAGACTATGTAAGCAGGTGAAACTAAGCTTCAAGATACCCTTTATATGGCTAAAAAAATGTTAACTGAAATAGCAAAGTAAACAAATAAGCCAAGTTTATAAGCAAAATAGAATCGCAAAGAGGGGCTCTTAAACTAGCTGAATTTACTTGGATGGATAAATGTAGTAATGAGCATATATAGACAGATATAGACATATACATATATATGCGTGTAAAAGTTGAAATTCCAATTAGCAATTTCTAATGTGAATTTTTTGTTATTCGGTTTTGTTTTCTGACTTGCGCAAATTGCGTTTTAGAATTTGGCTACTTTTTTTACTATTTTTTTTTTTTGCCTTTTTTTTTTTGCAATTAATTAGCTTTTGGAAATTATTTTCTCATTTGTCAGTGGACATGCGGGTGCCGGATGTACGGACATGTATGTACATATAATACCTCTCTACCTGCTGCTATCGTCTCGCATCGCCTTACAAAAGCAAGCGCTAGCTCCATTGTTCTATTCCAACTATTATATAAAGTGGCTTAGAATACGAAATAACAATAACAATATAAAGCTGAGGTGAGTTTTTTTTAAGGCGCAGTTCGCGTGCGATGCGCTGCCAAATTCACAAACTTTTAATAGGATCTACGACATGACTAAGCGAAATGGGAAATGGCCTGGCTCTTGGATAGAGCTCGATATGAATAATTTGCTAAACTAATAAATTTTTGTTTTTGTTTTCTTCAGCATCTCGGAGTTCATTAACTGTTTACGAGCGTGTAACGAGCACCGAACTGCCAACACTTCCATTGGATGCCACCTAAGTCCGAGCTTCCCCCAACCCCACAGCCAGCCACTCACTCAGCGAGGGGAGACAGACACCTTCGTTGTCACGCTTTGTTGCGCAAAAAAAAGTGAAAAGCTTTTTATTTATTTTTTTTTTTATTATTTTGTTACTTTTTTTTGATTATTTGTTTTATGTTTCATATACCCCGCCCCTCACTCGAAATGTACATGTAAATGAAAATAGTTTTGGTTTTTTTTTTCTTTTTTTTTTATCATAAACGAAATTTAATGATTGTCTTGTTTTCATCGTTGCGCTTGGCTTGACTCGGCGCGGCTTGAATGCAGCTCATTTCGTTTTATTGTTCATTTTGGTAATTACTTTTCATTATGTTAACAAATGCTTGCTGTCATTTATGCCAAATGTTTATGCTTTATTGTTGAACAGTTCACTTAAATACATAGGAGTACGTGGTTAGTGCAAAATAGAAACTCCCATTTCAATTTCTTAGTTCGTGGATTAATATTATAAATAAATTATAAAGTTAATAAAATCCAAAGGTAAAATATGAAATGGATTTTTTTTTCGATTTTCTGAAGCTCAAATCATTGGAATTAAATATTTAAAGGCTTGCATTAGATTGTAAGCCCTTCTAATTAGCTGGAATCTTCTTTAGGAAGGCTACTTCCCAAAGACAATGTCTTATCAAAAACTTGCTTTACCTCAGCATTTATGCTTCGTCTTGTTTCTAAGTCAGCAAATATTTATATATGTGCCAGTGTGTATACGCAAAGATATTCAATCGTTAAGTGAATCCCACTAACTCGCTTTATGTTTTAAGCCAACAAAAATAAAATAAATCGAAAAACAAAGCAAAAAAAACCTGCCTTTCTAAATTTCCGTTTGGTCACTTCCATAAAAGTCTAGAGCTTTTTCTGATGAAACCGGCATTATATTAAGTCTATATGTTGGTAGATATGTACATACGTACCTATATGTATATGCATCAGTGTCTGTATGTATTTGCAAACACTTGAGCAAACAGCAAACCAATCAATATACGAGGCGACAAGGCAGACTAGCCCGAGCCAGAGCTCAATATTTGTTTAAATAATATGTTTGAGAGAATTTTAACTTAAAAGTAAAGCAAACGCTTTTACAGATGCGCTACAATTGATAACGTTGACAATGTCAAGATCAGGCAATGGAGTCTCATTATTTATGTCAAGGATGGCTAATGCCGATATTCTGATATACATAAATTCATATATACACATACATATAGTAAAGTGGCAGCAGCAGCGGCTTCTGTTGTTGTTGGATCATATTTTTATATTTCTATTATTATCTTCAGCATTTATTGTTTAAATTGTGATTCAGCTATTTGTTGTTGTTGTTGCTGCTGCTGTTATAGTTGGTATTGCGGTACAGTTATGCAAATGAGACGCAAATAGCGTAGTCTTTATGTCTGTTATCCATATGCATATTCAGCATTCAAAACTGATTCAAAATTCAATAAAAGAAAAAAAAAAAATAAATAAAAGCAGTCACATATCGGTGTGGAAACGAAAGACATAACAAAAAGAGCCGTTAAAAACTTACACACACTACAGCTAATTATGTGCAGAAATATGCATAGTAATTAAGGCAACGCTATTTATGATGCTCATTGACAAAAATCATCGAAAAATTGAGATCTCATAAAAATATGGATAATGTGCGCAAAAATTGTGCTAGTTTTTTTCTTTTTTCTTTTTTTTTTTTTTGGCAGATCAGTCCAATGCCAAGGACGCCCGAACACCTTAGCATTGTCATTATAACTGGAGCGAACGTGGCGTATGCGTAATGCCTATGATTACAATAAACACAGATCGGTATATGTTCGTGTGTGTATGGTTGTATGCAAATGAGTGGTGGCTTAGGTTCAATTTGGAATCTGTTTATATCTCTAATGTATATGGCATATCATATGTTGAATTTACCTTTTCGTTACGCGACAAAAACTCCCAAATGGGAATAGCCGAGGCAGCGCCCATTTGGATGGCCATTGCGCTAAACAGGCAGCTGATCAAAATTAGTCTGGTACCACTCATCGCCATCATCATTGTTGTTGTTGTTGTTTTTTGCTATGGCAAAGGTTGCCTGCTTGCCTTTGATCCCAAGCGGTCAGCTGTGTCAATTGCACACCGTTAGCTCTGCTGCTCGCGTTGTTTGTGTAATCCGCGTTGCCAGACTTTCTATTTTGACTCGGTTTTAAAAGAAAACTTTCTTTGCTCCCAATATCTTTGTTTTCGCACTTAATTAAACTAAATTGTACAACAAGCTTTACTAATTTTGTTTTATTGGCTTTTGTGTCGGTTTTGTTTGCATTCAAATCGTGTATCTGCCTTCCAGTTCATAAGGCAAAAAGCTCGTCTCACATTTCACACCCACAGTTGAAATTCCTCACCAACACTGAAAAACACAATCAATAAAATGAAACGCGTGAACGATGCGTTCGCAACAACGACTCCTCTTCAAATGAAGCAACTGCCAGTGGTGCATTCGTATTTATGCTTGGAGCGCGACTCAGCGGGTGATGAGAGCGTGTCACGAACACGAAGAGCTCGTTGTCTATGGCTCACAAGCTGCTCTCAGCAATTGTGTTTGATCGAGCTCTGCCGAACGGCACGAGCGCAGCTCTAACTAAGTTACTGTGAGAGTAGTTTAAGTGAGAGCCTGTACGAGAGTAATCTAGCGCTCTCTCATTTGAAGCGGCAGAAATACTTATACTCACACATACATACACACAAATGGCAAACTTGTTCTACGCGCGCTTGCAGCTAAAATAGAAATTGAGAAAAAGGCAAAAACAAAAACAACAGCAAAATTTTGCAAATTTTCAAAGTCAAGTTTACAGTTCTAAAAGCTGTTGAGCTTCAAAGCTAAATTTATGAATATGCAATTTTTCTCCTTAAGTGAAATGAATTGCATTTTGAGCCGCTTTTGTTTTTTTTTTGTCAAAAATATAAATACAGAAAAAAGCGAATTATTTAACAATCAACTGTTAATTAAACCAAATGAAAACATAGACTGCCATATAAATAAATGTATATATTTATGTATTTATGTGTGTGTTTGTATTATGACGGCGGCGACAATTTGTTCAAGCGTTAATTTTCATGAAATTTATTTGATTGAAAAATAAATAATCCCCCCTCAAAAAAAAAGTGAATTATAAAAACAAATCACTTGGAATTTGTGTCGCCAAAAGCCGATAACAGAAACCAGTTTCAAAAGCATTTTTAAAACACGCATTTTCGCTAACTGTTGAAGGATGGAATTTCCTAATTAAGAATTCTACATTGAACGCTAAAATTAAGGCATTTAAAACAATCAATGTAAATTATGTGTGCTTTATGTATATTTTATAAATAGTCTATATATATTTAAGTCAAACAAAATACGTTAACACAGGCCTAATGGAGAAGGCTTGTTTTGAGTACAGTCATCATCAAAAAGGGATTTCGTGGAAAGCTACCGCAAAACCGTTAATCGATAATGCGTTTCAAACTGTCACGTCGGCTGTCTTTTTTGCATATTTTTTGACAAGAGACAGAGCGAATGACAGAGAGATAGAGGGACAGAGAGAGAGAGAGAGAGAGAGAGAGAGAGAGAGAGAGAGAAAGAGCGAGAGACAGTGCACGGGTGCAATGTTCGCTTAATTCTTTAAAAACTTTTGGGTTTGTTTTCCAATTCTGGTTTTATTTTAACCATTGCGTATACAAATATATAAAAACTGACATTAGTCAAAATACAGGGTATACATGGGTAATATTGGTACTTTCACTGTCTCATGCTCACTTACGGCCCATCTACAAGCGATTGTATTGCATGAAATTGCGATCATAACCGCCATACAAGTCCCTATCGTTCTTGTTGTACAGCATGAAATCGTTGCTCTTTGCATCATCTGCGCCAAAGATGGGTATATAGCTGTTGAAGCTTAGATCCTGCTTCAGGCGCTGATCCGGATCACGACCCAGATGTATGATTTTCGTATACAATTCCACATCTGCTTGCAGAGCCCGATCAAAGTCCTTCCAGTGCACGAATTTGACATGTTCGCTGGGTATAGCATTACGATCCAATAGCTCGAACAGGGTATTCGAGTTGACGGGCTGAACGACGCTTAGTTCATGCTCCACACTGCCAGTGCCTCCAGTGCTCGGCAGTCGGCGTTTGCTAAACTGTGGATCCGCATCGATATTCCAGAGCCAGGCTAGCAAGGGAGTAATGGAGGCCTAGGAAAAAAAAGAACAGAATAACTGATTCATTTGATTCATTTTGTATGCCATTTCACATACCTCTGGATTGCTGCGTCCTATGCGTGGTATGGTCTTCATGTTCTTCATGAGAAATGCTTCGCCGCGCTTGCCCAGTCGCGGCACGTTCTTGGTGATCTTCAGGAAGAAGCCAGGACTCTCATCTGCATATCCTGCGATCCAGAGCTCAGCCAGCAGCAGCACGGCAAACAGAATTGTAAGTCTATTCATCGCTGTTGGCCCACCACTGTTCCGCTTTAAGGCTTAAAGAGAATATTTATATCGTTGTTCATATGCGGGCAACAGCTGCTCTAAGAATTTACATTATCGATCAGCAACCAAGTTGACCTCATTACATAATTAGCAATGCTAAGCCGAAAAGGGTAAGCTCTATAGAATACAAAAAGGGAGGTGGAGTTGACAGGGTATAGACACATATATCTATATAGATCATATAATAGCAATGTTTATACAACAAATTCTTAAGCATTAACAAACATTCATTAACAAGAGTGTATAGTAAGGTTTATTTAAATATATTAATAAATTATGTGTAAAATTAAGGAATTGTATTTCTTATGCTTAAATTATCGAACTCTGTGCCCATTGTGCAACTTCTGTGGGCAGCGCCTGATAGCGTTGCACAGCCTGCTGTATCTGTCCATAGGTCAAGGCCATTTTGTGCATTTCAAATTCCTTTTGCACTTTACCCATGCCACTACTGGACAAGGGCATTATTAGCTCTACAATGCGCAAATGCTCAAAGGCTTTTAATACTATGGCACGCTCCACACCTTGCATCGTCGTAGAGACCTTGGCGAACTTGGAGAAGCGCCCAAAAATGATCTCAAAATTGAAAGGATCGCGATCATAAATGCTCGAATGATGCTTTATGGCTATTAGCAGACACAGCTCGAGCACAGACAGACCGCAAAGCAGTTCTACTTTGTCATCGCATTCGTATTGAGCGCCAAGTGCTGTAAGCTGCTCCACTGTTATGTGTGGGGCATCAGCTTTCAATTGTGCCACCAGACGGAATGTGAAGGTCTTGAGAAATGCTTCGCTTACATCAAAATCATAGAGCATTTGCAGGGTCTTTTGTGCTGCAGGCGTTTTGATAAGTTTTTCGATTTGTTTGTTCCAGTTCTCAACGTGTTTCTTATCAAATGCATATTCAACTCCATCGAAATGATTGCGCTGAAAGGTAAAAGCGTCCGATTTGAACATCTGCAGGCTGTCAATGCGATCGACAGCTGCTTGTAGCTCCTTATTGCTAGGAAGGCTTACTAGATGCTGAAAGAGTGAGACATAATCCTCGAATTTGTTTGCACTGGGAAAGAGGAAAACCTGCCTGTGGCGGGGAAAAGTTAACTAATGCGATTATATTGGTGAATAAGAATAGAAAATTCGAGGGCATACCTGTGCGAGAATCGCGATTTCACGCGCTTCTCAAGCAACTCAATGACATCTAGTCGACAGGTAACGCCCAGCACACAAATTGGCGCCTGAGCTGACTGCGAGACATCAAATAAATTGTATAACAATGTCTGATTGTGATGTGTGCAAAAGAGATCAAATTCCTCCAAGACAAAGACAACGCTCTTTGACTTTTTGTCGCCAGCCTTGAGGCACTGCAGCAGAAAGGCCAAGTTCTCGGCAAACGAGCCAAAGACTTTGCCATCTGCTGCATTCTCCAAGCGCATTTGTACGGTGATTGATTTGAGTGCAATGCGATCATCTGTATGCAAATTGCCATCGAGGTGCACAATGAGCGTGTTGTCCACAAACGATTTGTTCTCCAGCAAATCCGTGAGAACGGCATTGATGAGCTGCAGAGTAAGCCAGAATCTTGAGCAGTGGCCGACATTAGTAGGCAGTACTTACTGTAGTTTTGCCGGCACCGCGCGGTCCTATCAACAACAAAGAATTCGATTCACCCATTTCAGCTGTGCGCTGCAACAACTGCCGTACATTATTACGTTCCGATTCATAGCCACGGACAGTGGTGTAGTCGCGTTGTAATCGTTCTTTGAGAAAACGCCGCGTTTTAGCTATCTCCTGCACCGAATCATGCATAATTTGTAGTACAATTTATCTCACTGGGATTTGCTTGCGCTTGTTTTGAATAGCATTTGCCGCCAAAATATCAGCTGTGCTAGTGGTGGCACTTAAACGATAGACATACTCAAAACACATCTTGCTCTGTTCGTTCGGTCAACTAAACTGTTGCGGAACGGTGTTCGCAAAACAATTCAAAATTTAAAGCAATTTAAATTGTTGCATTTGTTCAGAGTTAAATCATTAATATGTGGACAAATCGCACAAATTCAGAGATTAAAGTTATTACTGTTTAATTTATTCTACATTTGTATACATCCGTCTATTATTATAATGTGCGATGAACCATATGCAATTTATATATTCTACATATTTAACAGTCTAAAGCCTTAGTAATTATTTCACAAATGTTTCTAATCGACGAACAAATTCATTCATGCGCTGAAATTTCTTGTTTCTCTGGGGATGTTGGGATTTTCTACAAAGAATTTTTGGATTACTATTTATTGTTTATATAAGAGTTGCATATTATATTTCAAATACAACTGTTCAGCTCTTATAGTTAATCCGGTTAGTAGTTAAAAAAACATACGGTTGAAGAAAAAAAAATAACAATATCTAAGACTAATTATATTAGTGCCTTAATATGGAAATGATAAGTTGCTTGTGGCGCCATGCCATCGATAGTATTATTAATACAATGTAGTGCAATACTTTCAGTTAGGTCAACAGTTCTGAGGGAGAATAATTAAAAACTAATCAGAAAATGTAATTAACGAATTGACAGATTAGAGCATAATGGGTTCGTAAAATGTCTCTGAATTGTGTATTTCACAATTATTATAATCTACAATTTTAAAAATAAATAAAAGCATGTTATTATTTTAATTATTATAGATGAGTATCTTCATAAATGCAAACATTTATATCTTGAAGTGCTATGAATTATATCATACATCATTCGTTGAACAGCATTTAACCAAACGGCCAACTAATGTTTTTCTTGCGCTTTATTTTACTGTTTACCTTTTTTAATATAAATGGTGTAAGTTAAAATGCGTATAATAAAACATAATCGTTTATTCTTTACATATACATATGTATATATATACATATATATATTCTTTTTTTTTTTTTAGATTATTGGCCATTTTGAGTTCAATAACTTGCAGTGTTTGACGCATGACAAGGAATATGTGGAATTCGAATATTGCTATTTGAAGTCCATCAATCGCACCTACAAATACAGTTCTCTAAAAGCTATTCTTCATCAGTTACCACTGCGAAGCCTTAAGGTAAAAACAAATCTCATTAGTGATAATTTATGTAAATTAAAAATCCAACGTATGTTCAGCTGAAATACAAGGTTTTAAAGCGAGACACCCAAACCATATTTGACAAATACGATGGCAGCGTAAATGTCTGCAAGTTCTTTAAAGATGGCCGAAATCCAATAGCACGGATTATATTCAGTGTATTTACAGCATATTCAAACATGAATCACACATGTCCCTTCAATGTATGTATAAATATTTTATGTTTGTTTTTATCGGTTTTACTAATTCTGCGTTTTATAGCACGATATAATGGTGGATAAGTTGCCAGTGCAATATGTGAATAAAATTATAGCAGCACATGTTCCGGATGGTCGATATTACCTGAACCTGTCCTGGTACACTGAAAATATTGCCGTTGCTGATGTTATTGTATACTTTACAAAATCTTAGATTATCTTAAACTGTTGCTCGCGGCTTTATTGCAGTACATTCGTAGCTATCTTTCATGCATACAATGAATATTTAAATAAAAATAAAATATTGTACTCTCAGAAAAGGCTGTATTCGATCTGTTGCCAGCTAAAAATTTCAAATGGTAATTTATATAATCTTTTTAATGGTCCTATGCAAGCTTCTGATAGGAGGTCAGAATCGAATCATATTCATATATGAAGCATCATATTCCACCACAATGTTGACTCAGATTTATATCTAGTATTTACTGAATTTTTTCCAGTCCAATCAAATTCAAAGACTTTGTTGAACTCAAGTGATGTGTAACGGTTCTGGCCAAATTATTCAAAATTATTTATTAAGTATCCACGCCGGAGCCACTTTTCACAATAACTTTAATGGTTAATAATCGACGGTAATCCTCTATTTAAAACATTTATAGATTTAGAAATGTTGTCATTCATAATTATGAATTGTTATGAAGCATATAAAATATATTATTTTTTAGGTTTCCTAGTTATTAGAGTAGAAATGTTTTCAAACGGCAAACGTATGTTATTTTCGCGCTTGATTCTATTTGTCGCCTTTGTAGGCATAAAGGGTGTAAGTTTCAATATTTATATATGTAATCTCAATGTTTATGAATTGCATAAAGGTAATGCATTTTTTTGTACTTTTAGATTGCTGCAGATGTTGAGTTTAATAATATCAAGTGTATTGCTTGTGACAAGAAATATTTGGAATTCGACTATTGTTACTTGAGGTCCGAAAACCGCACGTATAAATACTTATCAATAAAAACCTTACTCCATCAATTGCCAGTGCGAAATTGCAAGGTAACTAATTTTTGTATAGTTAAAAATTATATTAAAGCAAAATTCAACAATTAATAAATATACATATATATATGCATATACAGATAATTTTTAGAGTTGCAAAACGCGACACCCGCAGCATAGTTGGACAATATGACGGATCTGTAGATGCCTGCAAATTTTTGAAAGATGGTCGTAATCCAATAGCCAATCATATATACCAGACATTTAAACCATATTCAAATATTAATCACACATGTCCTTATGACGTAAGTAAAACAGTTTATTTTAAATTTTTTTTAAAGACTTGAATTTGTTTTTATTCGATAGCACGATTTAATACTGGAAAAGGTTTCAGTACACCATGTGAACAGTGTAATACAAAATTTTATTCCCAATGGACGATTTTTGCTTAATCTAACATTTTATAATAACAATATTGCACGTGCTTCGGTCATCGTCTATTTTTCAAAATCATAATAGAATTAGTGCAATGCAGATGTAAAACCCAATAAAATCCGTCGTGAGGTCTTAAACAGTAATGATATACGAACCTTAAATTTAAATTGAAATAAAGCACAATTTTTCCACAAAACACTAGCTACGATTTTTTTTTGACGTTGTGGGGTTTTAAATTTATAATTTAAATTATTAATAGTCGTGAAAAGAGCTCTCATTAACCAGAGTGGCGCAACGGTCGATTGTTAATGTTAGCTAGTGGCGGCATGTTATCGATAGTTACGTTCAAGCGATAGCTTGTGCAGTGCGTTCGATTAGCTCAACTGATAAGTAGCGGTGGCGCCAAAAATTCAAATAAATGTATCCATACCCAAAAACCATTTATATTTCACAATACCTTTGGGTGGTAATGGATAGACAATAATTCCTCATTTAAAATATATTAATACACGGATGTATAATTTTTTGTTTTTAATTTTAATTACTATGAGTTAATAGCTTAATAAATGCAACCATTTCTAATTATCAACTGCGATGAAGCATATAAAATATATTGCTCAGATAGGCTGGTATTTATTATCGTTAAAATATTTCCATACGGCAGACAAATGCTAATTTCGCGCTTAGTTATACTTTTTGCCCTTCTGGGTATAATAGGTGTAAGTTAAATTGTCTATTAACTTTAAATTCTACATGAAAAGAATACTCTATTTGTATTTTTAGATTACTGCTCATTTTGAGTTCAATAATGTCGACTGTGTGACTTATGATAAAGAATTTTTGGAGTACGAATATTGTCATTTGAAGGCCATAAATCGCACCTACAAATACTTGTCATTAAAAACTATTCTCCATAAATTGCCCATTCGAAATGCTAAGGTAAGAAATATAATATTTTATGATTGTTAGAATGTTACTAATCAAAAGTTCTATATTCGTATATTTAGTTGGCGTTTAAGGTTGTAAAACGTGACACACGCAACATATTTGAGCATTACTATGGCACTGTAAATGCCTGCAAATTTTTGAGAGATGGTCTAAATCCATTAGCCTCTTTTTTATACCAAACATTTAAGCCATATTCAAATATTAATCACACATGTCCATATAACGTACGTATATCAATTAGTATGTATGAATATCTCTTCAAATCTTTGCTCAATATGATTCTTTTTTATACCCTGATTTTTTTTGGAATAGCACGATATAATAGTGGACAAGTTGCCAATACAATATGTGAACAGTGTTATAAAAAATTTCATTCCCGACGGACGATATTTGTTGAATCTAACGTTTTATAATGACAATATTGCGCGCACTGATGTTCTTGTCTACTTTACAAAATCTTAATATAATTATTGCAATCATTATAAAATTTTGATGTTTTTCAAATTCAGTTATGTAAGTGAATTAACCAGAATATGAAACACACTGTATTGATTAACTAATTTCACGTATTCAAAAATTGAAATATAAAATCCACTATCACCTCTTCGTTTTGACCAATCAGCTTTCAATTGCAGCTCAAGTGTAAGATAAAACAGGTATGTCTTTAGGTCCTGAAAAGCCAAATTGACAATAGCTTAACAATAGTTTAGCTGTAATATCTCAATCTACGAATATATTAATCGATTAGAAATGAATATTTCGGGATTTTGACTGTAGTGCTCTTAAAGTTCAAATAAAGTCATTTCATAGTTCACTGCAGCTCTTAATTTCGACGGAAAACTAGCTAAATTGGCAACAAGGTGCTAACAATAGTAATGCTCAAACGATATTTTTTGCACTGTGTTCAGTTTACTCAACTGATGTGTAACGGAGGTGGCAAAATTGATCAAGCTCATAGTACGAGTAACGGATGAACAGTGAGCATAATATCTTCATTGGGTGTTTCTAAGTTTTCTATCTTTCACAATTGTTTATGACAAATTATTAAAAATATGCAAATTCGCTGATCCATAGAGTGTATTTGAATTTACTTATATAGATTAATATCTTTTGAAATAATGACATTTATAATTAGCAACTGCTTTGGGGCATGTAATGTAATATCATTCGTAATGGACAGACAGTGTGAAACTATAATTATTATTGAACAATTGGTTTCCAACAGCGGACGAATGTTATTTTTGCGTTTAGTTCCATTTATTGCCCTTATTGGCATAATATCTGTAAGTTGAAAAATACATTTATACATAAACTCCAATATTGTCATACAAATATTATTTTCTGTCCATTTTTAGATAACTGCCGATCTTGAGTTCAATAATGTTAACTGTTTCACTTATGATAAAAAGTTTTTGGAATACGAGTATTGTTACTTGAAGGCCGTAAATCGGACCTACAAATACTTTTCGGTGAAAGCTGTTCTCCATAAGTTGCCCATTCGAAATGGCAAGGTAAAGAAAATCAAATTTTCTATTGATAATTCGCTAATTATAAATTGACTATATAACTAAATATACAGGTTGTATTTAAGGTTGTAAAGCGTGACACCCGTTACATATTCGAGCATTTTAATGGCAGCATAAATGCCTGCAAATTTTTGAGAGATCGGAAGAATCCATTCGCCAGTCTTATATACAGTACATTTGCACCATATTCGAATATGAATCACACATGCCCCTTCAATGTATGTATAACCACTTATTTCGTATATTATATTCAACACTTACTCTTGCCTTCTATTAATAGCACGACATAATACTGGACAAGCTACCAGTACAATATGTGAACAGTGTTGTAAAGAATTTGATTCCCGGCGGACGATATATGTTGAATCTAACGTTTTATAATGATGATATTGCACGCACTGACGTCATCGTCTACTTTACAAAAACATAAAGCAAGATTCTATTCTATAAACATACAATGTAAATCGGGTTAGAAGCTACATAAAATTCACAGTATGATGAAGTAATTTGACTTTCGAAAAATTTAATGTATTAAAAAAACCAGAAAAATCTAAAACAAAAATTAATAAGTTAAGTAGATTTAAAGAAAATAAGTAAGAGATTCCATAATGCCGATCGATGTGATCACGACAGATAATTTGAAATATCATCGTCTGGTTGCCAGCAAGGATACCAAGACATCGGATCGTTGGCAAAAGCTGTTCAGCTGGTATCCAGGCAGGCAGAATATCGAATTCAGTCGCATCGCCCAGATCTATTGTGAAAGCCAGCATAGATACGGTCAGGATATATTCCTAAAGTATGCACGTGAAAGGCGACTGAACAAGCTGCACGCCTACAACCATCTGGATTCATTGAAAGAACTGGAAAAGCAAGATGAACAGAGTCACAATGTTAACAGCAATGCCAAAGTACCGCCCACCACAAATGGCGAATATGGACGCTTTAAGCCATCGAGAATGCACTATTGCTAGGAGCTAAATGGAATCTTTTACTATTGGGTTTTATGAGCATTACAAATTCAAAGTGTAATCCTTAAAGACCAGTAACTGCATGGTATATATCATATTATTTGATATTTTTAAACACAAATTTCAATTCATTGGTTTGGTTGCCTCTGGCGGCTAAATCTGTTGGCTGTTTCGCGTAAAATGCAATAGATGGCGCCAGCTGTCTGCTGAGCAGTTTGGTACGTTAATTTTGCTCAAGTCTTTTGGCTGTGTTAACGCCTACAAATACACCTACGGCACCTGCAACACCTGTATCCACACTTCTGGTGGCCTGCACCTGTCACCTGTGCTCGGGTCAGACAGGTCAGCAATGGTTTTTATTTTTGTTTCACTTTTTTTTTATATTTTTGCAATGGCGTTCATTCAAGTGGTTTATCCATTGGTAACGCCTGACTAAATTCAGCTGTTCCATCATTATGGCCCAGCAGCGGTTATTAAGATCTTGTCATGCATGCATATAGATCTATATGTATATATTTTATAATTAGAACCAGAGTATACATCATAAAGGTTGGTTTTTCAGTAGAGATCATTTCTGATGTGGAATTGATTTATTGGGTCTGAAAATTGTATTTCATATGGCTGATTTTGGTGGACAATTAAGTTTTCAGCTGACCTATATTTAGTACACCTAATATGCATGGTAATTTGCAAATAAATCTGCTTGCCTCTTCATAGATCCCACCATAGGCATTACGAATTTCTAGATTAAGTACAGCGGTTCTATAGAAGACACATTAGCCAAGCAGCTGCTGTTGCCATTGCTGTTTTTGGGAGGCTGCAGCTCCAGTTGCCAGTTGTCAGTTGGCTGTTGTTTTCACTTGAGCTATGCAATTAAGAGATCATCATGACCATGTCTCGTTCAGCGTCCATCGTCCATCGTCCATCGTGCTCGACATCGCTGACAATGCAAGTTTGAGTGGATACTTCATTTGGCCACTTGAAATGGCGGGCGATTTTGCATGACCGTGCGCATAATTAACAAGGTGAAAATGTCAGTTAGTAACCGGTTAAAAGTCAACTTACAACGAGTGTTCACTGTAACGCTGCGGGCCGCGTTGCACGTCTAGTTGAAAAGTTCGCACAGGTAATTAACTGCGACCACGTTGCGGTTGCACTTTTTTTTTCTTGTACGCTTCCACCATGCATCAGTCAAGATGACTCGACGTTTGTTAATGAAAACAGTTTTTTATATAGAGCCAGAAGGTAACCCGTGCTCAGATCACCATAAGTTCTTAACTTTAAACATACAAGATTTATTCATTCATATTCATATCAATAAAAGGCAGAGCCTTACACATTTCATTTCCATTTTTTTATTGGAACTTAATATATGATTTCAATTTAATTGATAATCAAACAACTTCATTATCATTAGAATGAGAATCGCATAGGACGGTCGTGTACTTATACTTATATATTCATATAGACAGACGTCAATTAAATATTACCATTGATTTGATTGATTGGTGCTAAGAATTTTCTCTAGCTTAGTATTATCTTTCACCGTGATTTTATACTGTCTGCCTGGAATATTCTAACATATATACCATTAGATCATACATATATGAATTCAATAACCATCATGTAATGCCATTGCTTTAGTGATTTCTCCTTTATGCATGCGTAGACCCAAGCAGCTGTTAGCCAAATGATTATAGAGCTGGGCAAGTGCGAATATTACCTGAGTCTATTGCCCGAGGTGAAGTTAAGTGCTTTGGGTCAATGAAAGCTTTATAAGAGTGCAAGAATAAAGTTATCTATGCAAATTATTGCGAAAAACTTTAGCCGAGCTGAAAAATCCGAGCACAAGTGTGGAAATGATATGAAATAGTTGAAATGCCGTCAATACCAAAGACCAAGTTTCGCTGTGAATCATTAAATTTTAATATATAGATTTTCAGCCGGACCAGCCGACTGCCCCGAGTGTCCCGAGTGCTGGAAGTCGCTTGGGCCGATTGCGTGAAAAAGGAAGGCGAATGCGAATCATTAGCCACGTGGCTGCATTCACAGCGAAGAGTCGCTGGACGCGCTTCTGATGAGGCAATATGGTATCGTGCCTGCAGCTGGCAGAAGCTAGAAGGGAGAGGATTGGGGCTGGACAAGCAGTGGGCCATAACGAGAGAGTGGCAGTGGGAGTGGGAGTGGCAGTGGAAGAGGGGGCGCAGTCGAATGCCGTGTGAAAAATCAAAGTCGAAGCTCCACAAAATCGCAATGCGCACAATTAAACGGTAGCAATAATTGCTATCGAATGAAATATAATAATGGCTATAGAAAATAAGAGATATACATATATATATTTAAAAGATGTAGATATGACTGGATGTATAAGTGTGTGTGTGTGCTTTGTCGGCTATATCTTGATTTGGCTTGAGAGCTTTCGATGTGCCTGTTTCTGCGGTTTATTGTTTGCACAATTTTCCCATCGATGCGAACTTTTTTTGTTGACTCACGGCCAAGAACAACAAGAAGAGGAAGAAGCAGCAGCCTTAGCAGCAACAGCAACAGCAACAGCAACAACAACATTTCAGCCCAAAAAGAAGTTCGAGTTCGAGCCGTTGCCGTTGCCGTTGCTGTCGTGGGTGTCGCTCTAAAAACAAAAGGCCACAATCAGCAGTTGGCCAAAACAAAACAGTTCAAGTAGAGCGTAGAGTTGAGGTCTAAAATGCACTTGACGACTTTTCGATGGATGGATGGATGGATGGATGGGCTGACAGTGCGAACCCCTTTTTCGCCAAAAGGTAAACAACATTTGCGGATTTCACGCCAGGCTCAGACAGACACAGCCATAGCTGATCCTATTAGCCCAGCACACAATGACAATGACAATGACAATGGCCATGGCTCAAATCTCGCACTGACTGGCGCCATGTCTGTGCGCAATTACATGAGGCCGGATTAGGACTTGGCTAAAAGAAAGCAAAGCAAAAGGAAAATAGAACCTAATCCAGTTTTGCTTAATTCGCAGCAGGTACAAACAATATTGGCAACAAGTGTCGAAAATACTCGGCTCAAACCCTGCAGCAAGCGGGCTACGAGCGGCGACTGCGTCTACGACTGCTCTGTGCCGGAAAAGCCAAATAAATGTATAAAACTAAAACAGCCAGGCTCGACTTGAACATTATGAATATAAATAAATAAAATGCGGCAGCTCATAAATGATGCATAAAAAAAAGGGGAAGGAAAAAAACTACTAAAATTGGACTTGGAGCAGGCGCTCGACGCCGTTGCCAAATGTGACTTCAAATTAAAACGCCATTGGCATTTTGGCACGCATAGACTGAGGCAGGCAGCAAAAATGAGAGCGACAGAGCAGGGCGATGAAGAGCCAGACGTAGGGCCATATAGAGAGGCGCAGACGCAAACGTGAAGCCGCTCATCAAAAACAAAAGCAACAGCAGCGACAACCAGAAGAAACTACTGAAATATTGATTAAAGAGCACTGAATACTCTTGTACTTGAGATATGATGGAATATATTAAATTGACACTTAATGCATGATATATATATATATATATATATATATATATATATATATATATATATATATATATGTATATATATATATATATATATATATATATATATATATATATATATATATATATATCATGCA